GGCTGGATCGATAATGAGCACAATGCCCACAGTTCAATGACCTCGCGGCGCGCGTGAAGTGTATGTTGTCGAAATCCTCATCTAACACCTGAATGAGAGAGAGAGAGAGAGAGAGAGGGAGAGGGGAGGGGAGAGGGAGAGAGGGACATACAGACAGACGTACAACAAACAGACAAACAGACAGACAGGCAGACACACACACAGACAGACAGACAGACAGACAGACTGACAGACAGACACAATAATCAGGTGCACTGATGGAAATAAATGCCGTAATATCCTTCTACAGCCACAGAACCACGGCGTAATCTTATCTTTCCACAAATGATTACAATGTCGACCACCACAATCCCAAAAGTTGGAGTCAACTTTGGCTTTTAAAAACAACCATGAAATTCTGTTACCACTCCATCAAATCTAATATCTTTTTATCGGTTTCCCCTATCCGTACTGATGTTTTTATAAAGCGGTTTATGTTTCGTGTGTAAAGGTATAGATCTACATTCCAAGCCAACCATCGTGAAAATGTTCTGTTTGGTTTATTATCGGTGCTTGTGTTGGAGAGGATGGAAACAGTGGGTTGTGGAAGAGGTGTACGTATCATACACATGTCGTCTGTGTTCGTTTTATTTTCTTGTTTGTTTGATTTTGTGCGTGTGTGTGTATGTGTGAGTGTGCGTACGTGTGCATGTATGTGTATGTGTGTGTATTTATGTGTGTGTATTTATGTGTATATGTGTGGAGGGGGGAGGGGTGTATGTAGGGCACATGGTCTTTCTACACACTAGTTTATAGTAAATCTTGACCTTTTTTTTATCCAATTCAAAACGAATCTCACCGTGTTCACTGAGAGAAGAATTCAAAGCGCGCTCAATTTCCTGACATATTGAGTGATCTCACATGTAACACCTTATTTTTCGAAAGAATAAAATCCCTCAATGAGAGACGAACAATTTTTCCCCCCTTCACTTCCAATTTCCATACCTTGACATCTAAAATCGAAAAACAAGAAAATAAACAAACAAGATTTCGAATTCACGTCTTGTTTGACACGCGCGTCTGAATATCACAAGAAGCAATACCGATGTATTCAAAACCGTCCAAATCTCACCTGCTACTCTCTCCTTCTGCTATTCCTTCACTCCTACATTCTCTCATTCCTTTGAATTATCTCTGACACACGGAGAAAGAAAGCGAAAATCCATCTGCAATGCGAAAATTAACACGAACTCTGTTCCCTTCTTCCTCCCTTCCTTCTTCCTCCTCCTCCTTCCGTCCTTCCACTCTTCCTTCCTTCCTTCCTTCCGTTCCTCCCAGCACGAACAGCACGCCACAAGCGCTCGACTCACACAAACCCGGCTCGCTGTCTCGGCTACCCTTTTTGTGTCTCGCTCACTTTCTCCCTACCTCCCTCTCTGCCTCCCTCCCTCCCCTCTCTCTGTCGCTCCGTCCATAGTCGCTCACGCGCGCTCAATTTTTTTCCGCCAGTCTCCTCTCTCTCTCTCTCTCTCTCTGTCTCTCTCCGCTTTCCCCCCTCCTCTCTCTTTCTCTCTCTCTCTCTCTCTTTCTCTCTCTCTCTCTCTCTCTCTCTCTCTCTCTCTCTCTCTCTCTCTCTCTCTCTCTCTCTCTCTCTCTCTCTCTCTCTCTCTCTGTGTGTGTCTCTCTCTCTCTCTCTCTCTCTCTCTCTCTCTCTCTCTCTCTCTCTCTCTCTCTCTCTCTCTCTCTCTCTCTCTCTCTCTCTCTGTGTGTGTCTCTCTCATTCTCTTTCTCCACCCTCCCTCTCTCCATCTTCCGTTCCCGCCGCTGGAGTCTTATCAGGTTCTACCCGTAATCGGAGAGTAGCTTGAACAGTATCGATGTCACACCACGATCTCTGGACTCGATGTTATGGTCTTGGGGGCAAAGATAGGGAGCTGTAACAGGTCGTTTATCTGACGATTGGGGGAATCCGATGTCTACACAAAAGTCTCATAATTTGTTTATTCAGTTTAGTTGCATTCTGTCTGTCTGTCTGTCCGTCTGCCTATCTTTCTGGCTTTGTGTTCCTAAATTCTTTTGGTCGCATACTTTGTTTATTCAATTTAGTTGCATTATGTCTCTCTGTCTGCCTGTCTGTCTGTCCGTCTGTCTATCTTTCTGCCTTTTAGTTTCTTCATTCTATTTGTCGCATACTTTGTTTATTCAATCCAACTGCATTTTATCGACTTGTCTCTCTTTCTGTGGGTCTGTAGGTCTGTTCTTTCCTTCTTTACGTCACAAAATGTGTTAATTCAATTCAGTTGCATTCAATCGACCTCTCTGTCTGTCTGTCTGTTCTTTTTCTTTTCTTTTGGTCGCATAATTTGTTCATTGAAATCAAATTATGCAGTCTGTATGTGTGGTGGTAGTTAGCGGGTGATCTGGTGTGGTTTGCTCCTTCTTTCGTATAAAACATGAGGAGAGATAAGGACTCGTATAAAACATAGAGCCCTTATCTCTCCTCTTTTTTGTGTTTGTTATTCTCTAGTAACACATCTAATCTTTGGCACTTGTATGACATTATTGTGATGCAAGTGCCGTCTGCTTGTGTGTCTGCCTGCCTTGCTGTCTGTTCCTTTTTTCTTTTTGTTGCCTAATGTGCTTATTCAAATTCAATTACATTCTATCGACCTGTCTGTCTGCCTGTTTTCCTGTGTGAATCTCTGTCTGTCCTTTCTTTTCCTCACTTCATCGAGTGGGCCCTCGGATAAAACACAACGAAATATTTTGTCAGATTGTTAGAGGTTGAGCATTTAAACAATTGTTTGCGCTGTACTCGTACGTTTCCCAGAAAGCAGAAAATTTATATATA